TTATTTTACCTGCAAACTTTTATACTTTGCTTGTTGATAATGGGAGTACCCCAAAAGGAAATTCTACACTGAAGCAAAAAGAAAGCCCTGCAAAATGTTCTGCACCGCTGGCTTTGGTGGGCAGCAGACACAGGAAAGGCATGTGGTATATGGGACGGAGTAGCTTCTGGAGAAGGGTGCTTCCTTGGCTCTGGAAACCAGCTGATCCTACTGTTTGTTGTAGGTTAGAGGAGATGTCTGCTCCCCGTGAATGCGTGAAGTGCTATGGGATGCTAACATGTTGTGCCACTGCGAGGCCTGCGGGAACTGCTTACGACAGTGGCAAATCTTCTCAAAAAAAAAGACTCCTGCATCCCTGCAGTAAAGTCAGAGCTCCTGCACAGTACAGGCACTGCCTAGAATTTCCTTATGGGACTGTTAACAGAAATTACCCAGAACAGATTTTTTTCAAAAGATGGGTAAAAGGAAGAGTCCAACCACAGAACAGATTAGTTTGAACATTGCTAATCATTCTCAGAAGCTGAAGGTCAGGAAATGTGTGAATTTATTTTTAGTGGGATTTCTCCCTTTCCATGCTGCTTTGCCACAGAAAATCTAGCTCAGAGATCTAAAAGGAGATGCATCTAATGCACGCTTCAGTCATTTTAAGCTATGCTGCAGCCCTGCTGGGGAAGACATGGGTAAGTAGATTCAATTCTTAGCCTCAGGTAGTGAGTGGCTTGTGAACCTCCATAGCCTTGAATCCATCGATGATCAGAGGTGGTGGCTTTGGGACAGTCCCGAGCACGGTCTCCTGATCTTTCAGAGCGCGGCAGGACACGTGTGCAGAGATGGAGTGGCAGTGTTGCCACCTACGTGAACACATAGTAAATGTGAAACCTAGAGGATCAGGGGACAGCATATGCGTGTTAAAACTTTGGAAGCAAGGTGAATGAGCCCATGAATCAGTAGGGAACGTGAGAAACAGATGCATTTCCCATTACACTAACACATATGCCTGTCAGGTCGTATTATCTGACTGGTTTTGATATATCTATTTCTGTCTTACTGAACCTGATGGTGGCAAGTTTTAGTGTTGGTTCCATTAATTACTAATGTAGATGGTTAGAGTCTCTGTATTACAAGGTAATTTTGACACTTTCTTTTTAACATCTGCAGAACTTGCTTCAGCTTTGGAAATTGAAGTGGGGATTTTTCTGTGCTGCAGTCCCGTGAGCTTGTGCATCTTCATTCCTAATTGCTTTCTCTGCCAGCCCAGATGGCAATGTACCTGGGGGTTGAGTTTTTAGACCCTTTTTTGTATAACTTGTTTTCATAACTAGCTCTGTATGTTTCCTCTCTTGGTTGCCCATTGCCTGGAGCTGGGATATCATTTATTTATTTCCTCCTTTACCCTCTCTCTCAAAGAAGACGATGGGCAGGTTCTCAGCCTACCTACATGGTGGACTTTAGGTAACATCTCTGTAACAACCAAGTTTGATCTATAAATGTGCTTGGCTAAATGTCTGATCTGCAATACTTGTAATAGTTTAACATTCAATAAATACATTTTTAACAGTTGCTCTGTGAAAGGGGAGTATTTGCACAACCTGCTATTCTGTCTTGGTCTTAGGACAAACCTGCTCCAGCCACAACTGTTGAAAACAGTTTTATTTTAATTTTCTCCAAACAACTTGTTTTCTTCCTCCCTCAGGCAATAAATAAAAAGTTAATTTCTAAAAAAAAAAAACAAACAACCAAAAACCATACATATGTACACCAGCCACACAGGCATCTTGTGTGTGGATCAGACTGGGGGGGAAGGAGAGAGGTAGGGAGGGAAATAATGCTCCAGGTGGGTTGAAGATGAGGCATTTTCTAAGCTTGGACCAAAAGCTGCAGCAGTGTTGCACAGGTAAGCGAGACCCAGCTCAGGTGGAGAAGGGCTGCTCATGAGGTGGAGGAAGTTTGAAAATGCTAGATGGAGGACATCTCTGGGCCAGCCTCTCCTTCACCTGGCTGCTTCTCTCTTCCATTGCAGCCCCAACCACGTCCCATCCTGCTCCTTCTGGAAGAAGAGCAGCAGTGGGATGAGAGAGAGGAAACCGAACAGAGTAATCAAAAGCAGCCCAGACTGCTGCCCCCACCCCTTCTCTCTCCTCTTTAAGCCACAGGAGATTGGACCTAAGTTTTGCAGGAACCAGAGACCCACAGAGGCAAGAAAAGAGGCATTTAGGACTGCATCTCCCCCTCCAAACCACCTCCCAGCCACAGAGATTGTTCTCCCCCACAGGAATGGGCTCAGCTGGTGACTCGGCGGGTGCCTTCCAGCTCCTGCATCGCCTCCCCAGGCACTGGCAGGGGTGAGGTTGACTGCAGGCAGCCCTGTGCCACCACCCCTGCTTGCCCCAAGGCCCTGCCTGCAGCTCTGCTTGTCACCCAGTGTAACTGGCTCAGGTAAGTAGCACCCACCACACACCCCCATGTCTCTTTGTGCAAGGGGGAAGACTGCTGCACGATAAAAAGAGGGTATGCTCCCTTTTCAACCCAGATGAGCTAGGGGCAGAAATACGGGGAGAAGGGGAGGTGTATCTTTTTTTAAAAAACAAGATGGTAAAATAGGGATGGAAGGAGATGAAGACCAGGCACTTGAGGAAACCCAGTATGCTATTTTTTTTCCTCCCCCAAAGAGCCTGGACAATGTCAGGGTTTGTGTACAACTTTCGTGCTTTCAAAACATAAAATTAAAAAGCAAAAAAACCAAGATGAGGTAAGAAATTTCTCTACGAAAAAGACGTTGAGTCCAGGGTGAACGGCAGTGTCCGGCACTATTGCTTAACATCATGGGGCTCCGTGCCCACCTGCCCCCTCCACGCCTGGCACTATCTGCCTGGCTGGTCTCAGCCCCTGAGCTAACAGCTGGGCGACGTGGTGATGGGGCTGTGAAGGTATGGGAGGCTGCTGGGGGTGGCATGGACACCAACAGAGACTGGGAAGCTGAAGACAAACTGGGAGGTGGGGGTGGAAGTGGCCTTGCCCCGCTCCCGCAGTGTCCCCGAGGGGCTGACAGCTTCCACTGCACATGAGGTGGCCAACACCTGCGACTCAAACTGCAGCAGCTGCCCCATGAAGCTGAAGTTAGGAGAGATGATGCTCCGGCGCTGCTTGACGAACTCAAAGGCCTCCTCCAGCTTGACACGCTTCTTCATCATCAGGTAAGCCAAGCAGATGGTGGCGGAGCGGGAGATACCAGCCTGGCAGTGGACTAGGACCCGGCCGCAACACTCCTTCACTGAGTCTGGAGAGCAACAGGGGATGAGACATGAGACCAATGCCCTTCCAACAAAGCCCAACCCCACACCAAACCTGCAGGTGGTGGCTGACCTCCCTCCCACCAGTGCGACAAATGGCCTGGACTCTGCTGGACCCTCTGAGCCAAAGGCTCCAGGTCCTTGAGGCAGGAACCTCTGCCCCGGTAAAACACACGCGGACACAGCTCCTCTGTTCGGGCACTCACCGATATACTCAATTGCCTCCATAAACCAGGAGCTGATGTCAGCTTTGTGGTTATCCTCCACGGGGATACACTTGTACTGGTAGTGCCCCTCGAAGTGGTTGGGACAGTCCGAGGAGACATTCAGCAGGGCTGTGATGCCCAGTGCATCAAGCATGTCCCGCCGGGCGGCGTGGTAGGCGCTGCCAAGGTAGAGGAAGGGAAGGATTTCCACAGGGCCACCCTGTTACAGAGAAAAACAACAGATATGGGGGTGACCAGGGGACAGCAGTGGGTGGCAGGACATGCATCCAGATGGCTTAGAGGCCCTGAGCAGTGCAGGAACCTGGCATCTGATCCAGGGCCCTCAAAAGAGGGAGCAGAGACTGCCTTTCTGAGCTGTTGAACCCATTTCAGCGCTCCCCCCCGCTTCATCCTGTTCAGGAACGAGCAGGCGTGGTTTATGGGATTTGGGCTTGTCCACTCCCCAGGGAGCACAAACACCCTGGGATCAGGAGGACCGCTATGCTCTCCCATGAAAGGAAAGGGAGCACGGCTCTGGCTCAGCAGGCCTCAGCTGAGGGAGAGCAGAGAGACTCCAGCAGGACCAGGTTGCAATGCTGGAAGGAGCGGTCAAAATAGCTGAGCGCTGGGCTTCTAGACATACCTGGTCATGAAGGGGGGTCCCACAGGAACTGCAGCCCAAATCCAGGGGCTCGGCGCTGGTGGGGGGTGACACATTGCTCAGGGACTTGGTTTTTGCACAGAATTCAGGGTACTCTGAGGAGAAGCGCTCATAACCCCCTGCAAGAAAAGAGGCACAAAGCGTTATCCCAGGCTACATTCACAGCACTGCAGAACAGCATAGCCAGAGCTGACGCATCTCACTGTGCCCTTGGCCACTAGATGATGCTACAGTGATGGAGAGCGGTCTCCTGCCCCAGGATGAGCAACCAGGCTCCTGGCAGCAAGGGGGGAATCCTTGAGGCCCCACCACTCCCTTAGAGCAAGAGCTCCAAGAGCTCTGTAATGCTCTCGGCTGACCAAAGTCTCTGGTCCAGGGTTTAGCCCCTTCCACACCAACAGCCAAAACCCCAGACCAAGGCCAAGGTTGCTCTCTAAGATGATGGAGAGAGGATTTGTTGCCAGCATTCTCCGACTTTAATGGGAAAAGCTGCTCCCAGGCCAAGGACTGTACAGTTCCCAGTTTTCCCGGGCGCATTATCCTGCCACAGAGTACAGGGAGGTCTCCCACTGTCCCAGCCTGACCCTCTAGCCCAGAGCTCCCAAAACGACAGGCCAGGGAAGCCCTGGCACCGGCCAGGTACAGTGAAGCTAACCCCACAGCAAAGCTGCTCTCCAGAGGGAGATGTCCACTGCCTTTCAAGGACATGGGTGCGACCTGAACATGGAGGTGAGCACCCTGTAAAAGAGCAGCTTGCTCCTTTGACCTGCTGTCAGGGCAATAAGCAAAGGTGACTTCAGATCTTCCTAATGGCAGGCAAAACAAGAGCAAACCCCATCAACTTTCCAGGACAGGGACACTGCAGTGCTGGCTGCAAATAAACACTTCTGGTGAGATTTCCTTCTCTCGTTCAAATCAAATCAACAACCCTGACATCCTTGTAGAGTCTGACCTTGAGCCTCAAAACCAACAGAAATCAGGTATTTTGCTATCACCACAGGAATGTAGCTAGACCAAGCCCTGACTCCCAGAAGAGCTCCTGAAGACTCACCCCAACTGCAGGGCCCATGCCTGCAGATTCGGGCTTGCCAGAGCGCACGCAGCAGGACGCGTGTTCCTTACCCAGCCCTAGCTCTGAGACTGTCCTGAACAAGGCTGGATGCTCAAAAGACCATTGGATGCGAGCGTCCCCAGCAAAGCAGCCCAGGAATCCCTAGGCAGCTAGAGACCACTATTGCCAGCATCCCAGTCCCCTTTATGGCTTCCTCCCCCTACACGGGAAGGGCTCTAGTATCTTAAAGCAGAAACATGCATATGCATCACTGAATTTGCATTGTCCCTCCCACGTGAGCAGGACAGTTTGCAGAGGCTGACATCCCTTTGCAGTCCTACTGGTTCGATTTGGAGGAGCACCCAAAATCAGGCGCCCCTGTTAGACATCTTCAGGAGGTCTGATCCTAAAATCCCAGGATCTACCACATCCCACTCTGCTGGCCATCACGCCATCCTGAGAGGGAGAAGCTGCCCAGGGTGATGTACGGAAACAGGCTTCCTCCTTGGAAAAGCCGAGCGACCCTTTCAAACGGTCAAGATGTTTCTCTTCAGTGTATCTCATCAGATCTAATGCCCGTTCAACCAAGCACCACATCCAGCAGCTCCATCCAGTGGTGTGCAGATCCTGGCTGCGTGTGCAGGCCCTGCCCGGCACAGGAACCACGCTGTGCGGGTGGCCATCACCAAGCAACACCCAGCCGGGCCGTTTCACAGGGGAACCTGGCGGCAGTCTGATCTGCACAAAGCAGATCCGGGTCTTCATCCTGACCTGCACCCAACAAGTCTGCATTTGGACAGGCACAGTGCTAGGTTAGCACGGCTCTTGTGAAATCAGAGTGAGCTCAATGATTTTAGTAGCTCTGTGGTAAGCGAGGAAGAGGTCTCTAGCGCTAAGACTGAGTCTCTAGGAACTGTTCCTTAAAAAGAAGAGATTGGAAACCCCAAACAACCTCCCATGAGAACCACAGGGGCACCAGAAGCCCTCAGCTGACAAAGGCCACCCTTGAAGCGCAGCAGCGTTTCCTGCCACGTGCGCGGCTCCCAGCACCACGACGGCTCATGGCGAAGGACCCGAAAGCATGTTCCCGAGCGAGCCCTTGCTGTGCAGGCGCTGCCGCAGCAGCGCATCATATCACATCCTTGGAACAGCTCCTGCTGCTTTTACTGTATCTAGTACAACAGAATAGCTAGCTCCTCCATCGATCAAGCCTCCTAATGGATTTGCTACTCCGCATACGCATCCTCACCCCTGCTGTAAGTAAACCAAGGAATAAATTAACTCTCAGGCTGTAAACAAAAAAGAAAAAGCCCCACAGAGCTCATCCAGGAACCCCAGCCGAGCACCCCCCTTCCCTAAATCATCTCACAGCAATTCTCAGGACCAGCAGCTCCAACTGCTCACAGCATCTCATTTAACGCATGCCGATCCTGAGAGCACGGCGGGGGGGAAGCCCCGACTGCTGCCGTAGGC